CGGGACGAACAATACTAAAGAGGGGCAGTGTTGCGTCAGCGAGGTCACGTGACTAGTGTCACGCCACCTGCTTTCTAGAACTATCCCATTCCTTCGGGAGTGATCTAGCATTTACTAGATTGGGGGGTGGTCTGGTATATATAAGATGGTCACGGCGTGACGTGACAATAATGTGTGTGTAGGTAGTGAGTAATTGATCTGCAGTCAGAGAGTATTGTTGAAGTTACGTTCGTTATAGCGTTTGTTTTAGCGCGAATGTTGAAATTAAGTGTATCGTAAAGTTATATTCAGAAAGAATAAACCAGTTTTATTAAGTAAGGACTTGTGTCGCTAAAGTTTCGTCGGAACGAAGTTACGGAAAATCAATTAACAAACGGAGACGTAACAATACTAAAATGAGGGCGTCTCGAATGCATTTGGGCATTCATGATCATTCGAGAAATTTCATGCACGCTACCAGCGCCAAACGCACCAGCAGCGTCACGTGACTTCCGCTGGCATAACAATATTTTTTATATATTATATTGTTAATCTAACTGATTTTTACAAATAATTATTCTGTGAATATGCCACGAAATCATTTCATGAATAATCTTAAGTTTGATTGGCTTACAAAGGAATTTACCGACATTTGACTGCCTCACTGTACTTTTCTGCCACTTTGTTGGTTGAGCTTGATTTCGCAAAACTTACTTATTTCAGTTAGCTATGAAATGTGAGGTTAGGGTATACTATGGGGTGGGGGTGGTATATACGCTATACGCTAGTGCAATTATTAAGTGCCAGTTTTCTCAAAAATATGGTCGTTTAGTATATCTGTTCCTAGTTTAAGTAACAAAAATATATCTAAGCTTAACTGTCACTCACTTTTTAACCAACGTCACAAATGTTTTTTTCAATCTTTTTTATTTTCAAATTATTGAAATAGCGCAACGTCAGAAAAAAGTCATTAAAATTGTATTTTATGAGTTTATGGTGAAAGTCGTGGTCATTTCTAAAAAGTTTTAATATTAAACAAATAATGACAAAAAGCTGCAATTAATTTTAAAAATCTTTATTTTGTTACGAACATTTCGAACATCATCCTCTCTCGTTTTACATGAAAATGCTTTAAAATATTATTGCTAAATAGGCCTAACAATAAACATGCATATTGTAAAAAGAACAAAAAATTAGGCCTTAAAGACGAGAAAATGATAAGAGCTTTATGTGACCACACAAAACATGATTAAGTCACTAAAATCCGAGACAAAATTATTCCATTTTTACAGTGCAGTAAATTAAAATCGTTTTTAATTGATAAGTTATTTGCAGGGATTCAGACGATATTGTAGATTAAAACCACGAGCATTGTTAACGCCATTAGAGACAAATCTGACCATAAACGGACCTGGTGTTGAGTCTGTAAATAATAATAAAATTTACATTAATATATTAGGTCGAAGTCTGTAAATTTACTTATTTTTTACTTACGTAATGTATGCATTCCTATGAAAATAAAAATATATAAATAAGTTAAGTGATTAAGTTGTGAAATTTAGATGCAGCAAATGCTTCGTTACAGTTTTGTGATTATTTGTTATGTTATATATATAAATTGTTTTAATTATTAAAAAGCCTAATTCTTATTTTTAACCTTAACCAGACTAAAATCCCTAAAATGTGGTGATAAGCTTCAATACAATCAGAATCGGTAGTACTAACTTTTCACTTTTGATGTTGTATCGTGTGGAATTGAGTGTAAAGAACCCAAAAATCAGCACCAATGATGAAACTGTTGATTGCTGTTTTCGGTGAAAATTTGGCCAGAAGCTTATATATTTATTTCAACTCAAACAATAACCACAAGTATTTGAACGAAGGCAGTGGTAAAGTATGTTTTATTAAAGGGAACAATAGATGAACGTCATTAACATCTGAATCATCGTATTTGAAATAAAAAACAACAGGTCCTTTCTTTTTTTCACTTCTAGTTTCTTTGTATCATTATTATTATATTTATTTTGAAACTCTCTCTGCCCACTTTTCTTTGATGACTTTCTTTCAATTTTTGTTGTTGTTATGTTGTTGAAGCGTCTTTTTACGTTATTTTTTGGAAGTAATAAAAAGCACAGGATCGTTTTCTGACGTTTCCACAGTATTCTATATTCGTTTTCAACCTTTTAAACCAGGAAATAACACGGGGGAAAAATGAAATCGACATCTGGTCAGAAAATGAAAAATATTGTTAAAGGAAGGGCAAAGAATATCGAAGAACTCAACATTGAAAATTGTTAATAACATTTCGTCTTCAGGGAATAGAAGCCGTAATCGATTATCGTTCTGGCATATTTTTGCTAAATTCAACATTTTTTCGGATGCTGTTTACTCCAAATTTATCACCTACCTGAGCCTGGTTAAGTTGCTAATTTAGGAATAAATACTTATTTTGTAAAATAAAAGATCTCTTGTTCAAGAACTTCAGTTATAAAAGAGAATGTCCCCATGACGTAGAAATACGATAGGATCATAGTCCAATGTTATTAGAAGTAAAGTTGACTCGTTTTCGTTGTTATTTGTTTCTTACATTAATTCAGAGTAATTAAACTATTAGAAAAATAATGAAAAATAACTCCATAAAAAACAATACCCAGATGAAAAACAAGACAAACACAACTTCATTAATTGCAAGTTATTTCGTACTTATTTAGATGTACACTTAACATTTCTATTCAGTATTATCAGCAACATAAGAATGAGGAGAGTTCAGAAACTTTTGCCAAGATCAGGGATGTTAATATAAAAAAAAATAGTTTGAAAGATTTATATTTTCGCTGCTGTGATTGAAGTGCCATTACCATTATGAAAAGTGTTTGCCCTAAGTTTAATTTATCTTAACTTTTTCACTTGTAGACTATGCGAAACTGCTTTATTGTTTAATTATAGCACAAAGCTACACAACTGATTAGCTATACTTCACCTACAGTAAGAATCGAAACCAGATTTTTAGCGTTGTAAGCCCTCAGACTTACTGCTGACTCACAGGAGAACAACATGCTTGATGTATTTATTTTTCTTACCTAATTATAGCATTATAATACGAACCTGTTAAAAGCCCTGTAACAGTTGTATTTGTTTCACGCCCTCTGACGGAAGTTGTTGAAGCAGCTATACGGCCACTGCAAAGACGAATACCTCCTATCACTAAGAAGTCGTCGGGACATTCAGCGCTAACTGGCCCGGTGACAGTTGAAGACGAGGACGCACTGACCAAACCTACGCCAAACGGTTGAACACCCGTCACATCGGAAGCAAGTTCGTAAGAAATAGAACAAAATCCTGGCTCCTTCTTTAAACAAATTGTATAGTCCAGGTTGTTGGGGTAACCCTGGAACGTTGTGGCACCACCTTCTTCATAATTGAAACTCTTGATGACGCCATGAGTTCCGGTGTAGTATTGCAAACAGTGTTCGGGAACTTTAAAAATAAAAACGTTAGGGTAATGTCATAGAAAGACGTAAGAGACTTTAATGTGTAAAAAGCAGTACAAGAGAACACAAAAAAAGAAAGGTTTTCCAAAACACATAAATACAAATAATTCCAGAGATTAAATAGCTGTTTGTTATAATCTGATACATTTACAAAGTTTGTATTTCTATAGCAAGAAGAACTGAATCGTTACGTTTTGTCTTTCAGTTACTCGGTATTTGGTTTATAAATAATAGATCGATTGTGATTTTTTAAAATCTAAATATTCGATTGGTGACGTAATTTGGGCCTAAATATTGAATCGATAACGTACCTTGTGTCTAATTGTTAGATTTGTTTGTTTTTATAGCAAAGCCACATTGGGCTATCTGCTGAGGCCCCCGCGGGGAATCGAGCCCCGGATTTTAGCGTTGTAAGTTCATAGACTTACCACTGTCCCACCGAATTGTTGGACTGATCATGTTTATAACTTGTTATATAAATGATAGGTCGGTAAAGTAAATTTACCTTATAAGATTGTTTAAAGAAAATAACAAAACCCAACCCAAATTCAACATTATATCCTACCTATTTTGTTAGTTTTGCATTCCAGCTGAGTAATCTTTATGTTGAATTTTCTGGAATAACTGCCGATCATCATCACTTGTATGCTCACCATCCCAGACTCGTCTACGTCCACATAAACTGTGAAACATGGAAAATTAATAGCCTTAACTAATCACTTAACGCTACAATGACATCTGGATATTATTTATTTGTTTTTCCATAAAATTGCAAGCGCAAAAACAGCCACACGAAGCAATCTTTTCGGTGAATATTTAAACAGGTAGAAACGACTTTATAAGAAAGACCGTGTTCCCAGTTAAGCCGGACTTTATAAAGCGGTTCAGTAGAATACCTGACGAGGTTTAAGTGTTTATCAAAATTGTATTATGTTCAACACAAGCCGTTTCTATACATTTGATAAAAAGTTCAGACTAGTTGTACATTATAACAAACTTTACTCGGTAACGAAAGATTTGGTTTAAGACTAGAATAAACTAAACAATGTAACGTTCGTCTTCATTTTCCATATCAACCAACAATAATTTCAAACAACTAAAACAAATCTAATTATTACATCCATAGTTTGTTTATTGCTGCACGCAATGAGCTATCTGTTGTTGTGCTTACAACGGGTATCGAAACCTGAGTTTTAACGTTTAAGTTTTTAGGCTTGTCGTTGCGCTACTGGGGGGGGGGGGGGCTATCTCCACAGAGCTGCTGAACTTAAACGTTAATAGCAAACATTACCACTATGTCTTCAAAAAACATTGTTACCATATGGTGAAAATCCTTAGTAGCTATGGTTAAAATATGTAGTTACTATAACTAGATATTTATTAGGATGGAAATAAATCATTTCTGTGGTGAAAGAAAACAGTTGCAATAGGGTAACAGTGAAAGACGACAATAAATATGGTACTTCGATACTTACAGTGATGACCAGTGTTTAGACCACAAATCCGCGGGACGACATTATTTTCATTTTGTCCAGAAATGAAGAGCATGTCTTGCGAACAGTTGCCTTCGGTAGGCCGAGCTATGTCGAGGTCCAGAAAGTCCAACCTCAGTTGACATATGGTAGATTTTTTCTTTCCCACTCTGATCTTGCACATCCGTTCTTTATCGTACGCTCGCGGATACAAAGGGCTCTTGAAGTAGGTGAACTCCTCATAGCTGTCGTCATCACACGATACCTCAACTAGGCGATACATTCAAGTTAAACTTTGTCAATATCAGTAACGTTTATAATTATACCCTTAGTGATACTACTAATATGATATCAATACCAAAAGTTATTACCCTCGCTCTGCAAGGGTATTGCAATCGGGTCCGCGTGTGTGTCTGTCCATTTAGCGAATGTATTATTCGATAAAAGGGGTAAAAATGTTATTTAAATTTCAAACTCTAACCCCCCCCCCCCCAGCAATTATGTGAGCGTGTGTTGTCCGTAGATTCTCTGTGTCCCAAAAAAACAGCTATCATAAAACTTATTAGATCAGAGTTAGTTCAAACTTTTCTGTTCCGCGCTTAATTCCAGTTATTCTGGCACAAACGGATGAGAAAGGTGACACACTTCACCTGGACGGGATACTAGCCCATCACAGGTTAACCTCCAGCTGTTAGCTGGTAACGATTTTACAGTTGGGCAGACTGAAGCAAATATGGGGTGAACGTTAGTACAGTGTCGTGGTCTAATAAAACCGGATTTCATCACCAGGATACCTGACAGCTGCTTTTTTGTTTGTTTTTGTTTTTGGTAAAATGAAACTGTACTTCGTTACTCGTGGCCATGTATCGTTTCCAGGATATTTAATTAGTTAAACCTTCGTTAGAAAAACGTGACTGTTCACGTGCGAATTTAATATAAAAAAAAAGATTAATTCTACAAAATTTTGTCTGACAGTGGAGATTCGTTAAAGTCTATGTATAAAATGGTTAGCTTTGTATTGTTTAAAATTCGGTAAATGTTATAATTAATTTTAAAGCATGTTTCTGTAGGGTTCTTAACTCATTTGATAACAATTTAACTTTTGTTTGCCCATCGTGACTTTAAAATTTCTAACTCGTTTAGTATCCGATTATGAAGGATTTAATATTAATTGCAATGCAGTTTATTTATTTTCAATATTATTTTCGTTTTAAAGAGTTGTAAGTGATGTAATGATGGTTTAGTAATTCCTAAAATATTGTGTGACAAAATACTGAACAGACGGGGAACTGTCGTAGAATATCAAGCTGAAATTATCAAAAACTAATCTTATTTGATTTTTTTAAAACTTTTTCTTTATTGTTAAGCACAAAGGTCTATCTATGCTCGATCAACTGCGGGGATCAAAACCCGATCTTTTACGTTATAAGCTCTCGGACTTACCGCTGAGCCACAGGAGGATTTATCAGTATGTTTGTAGTTAAGCACTAAGCTACACAGTGGGCTATGTGTGTTATGTCCACCATGGGTATCAAACCCAATATCTAGAGTTATAAGTATGTAGACTTGCCGCTGTGCCATTGGGGGCAGGTTTATTAAACTAACGTTACCTAAACCCATCTTTTCTTGACAGTATAATCAAATATGTGTGTGTGTGTGTTTTAAAGCAAGGCCACATTGGGTTATCTGTTGTGTTCACCGCGGGGAATCGAACCCCAGATTTAAGCATTGTAAGTCCATAGACTTACCGCTGTCCCACCGTGGGACTATAATCATATCACTAACTATAAGTATTTGTATCTTGTATATATAGCTAAGCTACTTGGGCCACCGTCTCTAATTTGGGGCAACCAACGCACCACCCATCATTCATATTAAGGGATTAACTGTTATCCTCATAACACACCCTCAGTTTAAAATGCGGATAATATTTAATAGTTTGGTTTGTTTTGAATTTTGTGCAAAGCTACACGAGGATTATCTGTGCTAGCCGTCCCTAATTTAGCAGTGTAAGACTAGAGGGAAGGCAGCTAGTCATCACCACCCACCGCCAACTCTTGGTCTACTTTTTTACCAACGAATAGTGGGATTGACCGTCCCATTATAACATTCCCACGGCAGAAAGGGCGAACATGTTCGGTGACGGGGATTCGAACCCGCGACCCTCAGATTGTGAGTCGAGCGCCCTAACCAGCAGACTTATTTGATAGTAACACATGAATTCGAATCCGGCTCGCCAGCACCGAAGTGCATGGGGCTGACACGCGCTCGCAGGAATGTAAAACTTTAGGTTAATTTTAAATTGTTAAAGAGAAAATGTTAAGCCTAACAATGTGAAATAGCTCTAAAGAAATCATATGGTCAATATTTCGACCAACTGGAATTTTGGTCAGAACCACGCAAACAACATTTCGTAAGATTTTATAGGAAAATTGTTTAAAAAAATTACGAACTGCTCTACTTTCTTTTTCTTATCAGTATGTACCAAGTAAGTTTGTTTGTTTTCGCCCCCCCCCCCCGGGGCACCGCGGGACGCCTGGGGCCTCC